GGTGTTTAGCATGCCTCTGTTGTTAGACCAATGGCAACGGTGGGAGTGGGGGAGGGGGGCGGAGTCTCCATTCCGCACTGCAACTATGACAGCCACTAAACCCAAATCTACATTCTGAGTAACGTCAGCGAGCCATGCCAGTGACCCCCTAAATGGGGGCGGCGGGTCAAGGGATACCACGCAGATGAACATCGATTGTCGTCAAGGTTCCGTGAAACCCACCTGTACCTCCGATTCATCTCTGCAGTCTCGCCGCTTGCCAGGCGCTTTCTTTTACCACTGTTGTCTGCTTCTTTTATGCCTTGACTCCACATAAAATCCTGCTTCTGCTCTACGAGCAACCACATCAACACCACCAAAACCAACGCCACCCAACGCCCCCCTCCCGTCTCTCACAAGCAGAAACCTCCGCATAAGAAAAATAGCTCCGCGGGCGTCAAACTCCGCCATACACAACACATACCTAGCTCGGCGGGAATATTCCGCCATACACAACCAATACTCAGCTAAACGGGCCTGCAACTCCGCCAAACATACGCACGCATGCATGCGTTCTTAACCCTCGCCAAAACACCGCGTCTGCCCGCGTGATATCCGCGCAGACACTCACCCCTCTGAAGTTCCACCGCTGGGCAACAAACTGCCCAGGGGTAGCGCCCCCGCCGTCCCATCCCCCCGGCCCGCCGCCCCTCCCGCCTCTACCAGCGACGGCCGCAGCCGCCGCCGCTCTCTCCTGGTTCCTGGCCAGAGCGCGCTGCCGGTGTCGCATCACGCTTCCGTGGGAGCTTTCCGCCTGCCAGTATTTTTTTTTGGTTCCGACCACGGACACGCGCCAGGGGAGGGGGGGGGGGGGTATGTGTGGACGAAAACGCAGGGCATGTGTGTATGTATATTTATGGCACCGACGCGCTAACCAGCGGAATAATGCGCGAAGAACCGGTTCGTTGACACGGAGTTCACTGCAACACCAAATAAACAAACGAACACAAACACACAAACACACGCCTTCTTCGTTTGCTACCGTTTCTGTTTTTAATCCGGAGAACAGCTTGTGTCTCCCCCCCTTAGGGGGTCCCAGATCATGGGAGCATCATTTTCTGTCGTCAGCCGCACTTGAGGCTGACGCCTTCCCACTGGCCAGCCGGCGAAATAGCACAGAGGTCAATGCCACAGCAGTAGATCAAAGAAACAATCACACGCGGTCGATGCTAATCATAAAAAAGATACACACGCAGCCAATACACGCCCTGAAATCTCTTAAGGGGCACCCTACCACGGTCATCATGGTTTAGCCAGTGGAATCATGTTCTGTCTTCAGCCGAACTGACGTCTTTTCATCGGTCAGCCGGTGCTACATCGCGCGGCCGATGATAACAACAAAAACCGACGCAGACACCCCGCACCTGAAGGCTCTGAAGGAGCTCTAGAACGGTCGCCAGCACGCGCGAAGCTGCCTCCGGCGGCAGCGAAGCCAGCCGGGGGTCCCGCCACAGCGGCTCCAACACCTCCCCTACCAGGAGATGCACCCGACGGATGAACAGATCCGACGAAAAGCGGGGAGGCGGGGCGTTGGTCTTGGCCTTGCCGCCATCCTGCTGCTTCTGTGTCCGTGAGAAGATTTGTTGTGGCGCGCAAGAGGGGCAGCAGTGGCGGGCAGCAGTGGCGGGCAGCAGTGGCGGGCAGCAGTGGCGGTGTTTGTGGGCGGGCGGTGAGGGAATCGAAAGGATGAAAGCGGACTAGCCGGAAAGAGCATGGTGAAACGTCAAGGCTTGGCGCCCCTTTCTGCGAGCTGGCGGGCGGTGTGTAACGCCGGCTGGGTATCCTCTCCCTCTTCACGCGACCTTTGACGCCTATCACCCCCCCCCCCCCCCCCC